AGACTATCAGCTTATTTCTCAAAAGAAACCTTGCAGGCAAGAAGGGGCAGGAAAGAAGTATTCAAAGTCTGAAAGGCAAGGACCTCCATCCAATATTACTCTATCTAGCAAAGCTATCATTTAGAATGGAAGGGCAGGTAAAGCGCTTTCTAGAAAAGGTAAAGTTAAAGGAGTTCATCATCACCATATGAAATGTTTAAGGGACTTATCTAAGAAAAAGAAGATCAAAACGATGAACAGTAAAATGACAAGAAATTCACAGCTATCAACAACTGAACCTAAAAAATGAAACAAAAACAAAAACAAACTAAGCAAACAACTAGAACAGGAACAGAATCAAAGAAATGAAGATCACATGGAGGGTTATCAGCAGGGTGGGAAAGGGAGAAGAATGGGGGAAAAGGTACAGGGAATAGGAAGCATAAATAGTAGGTACAAAATAGACAGGGAAGGTTAAGAATAGTATAAGAAATGGAGAAGGCAAAGAACTTATATGTATGACCCATGGTCACAAACTAATAGGCAGGGAGAGGGGGAATGATGGCGGAGTGCTGCAAGGCAGAGGGGAATAAAGTGGAGAAAAAATAACCCCACCCTCAGGAGGCACTCTGCTCCAACCTGTGGTGTCTAAACCTGACTGCTGAGTGCAGAATGACTAGATTAACAGCTGAAGGAAACAGCGACAGACAGTGTAATCCTGGAAGTCTCAAACAGACTGCCCAAGGTCAGACAGGATCAACATCTGACGTCATCAGAGGCAGATCCAGAAAGAAAAAACAGCAGTCTCCTAACATAAAAGTTCACGCCACAAAGTCAGGAAATCAAGACAGATCAATTTAAGAAGCAGAAGCAAAAAAAGAAGAGTCTCACAAATAATGGGAAAACATAGAAACACCCCCCAGTTGAAGGGAAAGGAGGAATCCCCAGAAAGAGAAAGAAATGAAATAGAGGCAAGTCAACTATCAGATATTGAGTTCAAAACAATGGTCCTAAGGAAGCTCAATGAGCTCAGTGAGCTCAGAGAGAATTACAAAGAACTACAGGAAAACTACAAAGAACTTACTGCAAACTATTTTGGCATGAAAAAGAATATAGAGACTATCAATAAGAGGCAAGAGAAAATGAAGAATGCAATTTCTAAATTGAAGAACATAGTAGAAGGAATAAAAAGCAGTCTAGATGAAGCAGAGGATTGAATCAGTGAGCTGGAGGATAAGGTAAAAAAAAGCTCCCAAAAAGAGCAAGACAAGGAAAAAATACTCAAAAAGAATGAAGAGGCATTGAGGGAAATGCAGGACAACCTGAAACACAATAATATCAGTATAATAGGGATACCAGAAGGAGAAGAGGATGAAGAAGGGATAGAGAACCTGTTTGAAAAAGTAATGATGGAAAACTTCCCAAATTGGAGGAGAGAAAAAGTCACACAAGTCCAGGAAGCACAGAGGGTCCCATTCAAGAGGAACCAAATGAGGCCCACTCCAAGACACGTCATCATTACAATGGCAAATATCAAAGACAAACAGAGAATCCTAAAGGCAGCAAGGGAGAAAGAGGTAGTAACATATAAGGGAGCCCTGGTATGCCTAGCAGCTGACTTCTCAACGGAAACTCTGTAAGCCAGAAGGGAACGGCAAGGAATATTCCAAGGAATGGAAAGCAAAGGCCTGCAACCAAGATTGCTCCACCCAGCAAGGCTCTCAAATGGAAGGCGAAATAAGGAGTTTCCCAGACAATAGAAGACTAAAAGAATACACCTCCACCAAACCAGCATTGCAAAATATGCTAAAGGGATTGCTTTAAGAAGATGAAGAAAAAGAGCCTATGAATACCCAGTTGCTTTCACAGTTGCCAATACTCGATATTACCAATATTTTTAATACTTATTAATCTGATTTTGACAATGGTGTATTTTAAGTGTTACTTTATCAGTTGTTGAAACCAAAACTATTTTTGTATATTTCTTGCCTATTTCTATTATTTTTAAAAATTTTTAAATGATTTTTTGTATTCTTTATCCATGTTTTGATTAAATGTTTGCAAATTTTTTTGCTAAAAAAAGCTATTAACCCTCTTTTAGATGTGTTGCAAATACTTTCCTATTCTATTACTTGTCCTTTAACTTCTTTTACATGTATATTTACTGCATAGCCTTAAATGTTTAATACAGTCATATTCTCAATATTTTACTTTAAAGCTTCTGGGTTTGAATATCTTACTCAGGGTAAAAAAAATATTATTTTGTACTTTTTCCTACATTTTACATATTGATTTTTAACTCAAGTGAATATTTTTTGTATAATGTGTGAAATACGGCTTTATGTTTGTTTTATTTCAAGTAATAGTTGTTCATTCACCTTATTTGTGGAATAAGCCTTATTTTCCCCATTGATTTGAAATACCAATTAATCATATATTACATTGTTAGACAGATATATACATTTGTTTCTAGAATACCCATTTTATTTCATTGATCTACTTGATCATTTCTGTGCTGGTGTGATGTTGTTTTAATTGCAGAGACTTAATAATGGATTTAAATTTTTTAATATTTTATCATGGATCTTGACATTTAAATAAATAAATAGAACCTGCATTTAAAAAAAAAGAAGACAGAAGGAACTCCTGCCTTTTGCGACAACATGGATGGAACTGGAGAATATTATGCTGAGTGAAATAAGCCAGTTGATGAAAGACCAATACCATATGATCTCAGCTATAAGTGGAATCTATTCAACAAAATAAACTAACAAACAAAATAAACCACAGGCATGGAAATGTGGAGCAGACTGAAAGTGTCCAGAGGGGATGAGAAGGAGGACAATGGTGGAAAGGAGGAGAAGGGACTAAACAAAGAACATGTATGAATGACCCATGGACAAGGACAACAGAGTGGGAATTGACTGTGGGAGAGGGGGGCGGGGTGGGATGGGTGGAAGAGGGCAAAGGGGGGGGGAATAGAGACAAGTGTAATAGAATAAACATGATTTAAAAATTAAAAAAATAAAGGGGAGAAAAATGAGACAACTCTAATAGCATAATCAATAAAATATATATTCACAAAAAGGAAGTTAGGAAGAGAAAGGCTGGAGAACGGAGGTGAGAAATGAAAAGCAAAGAGAAATTGTATAGAGAATTACAACTGTTACCTTTATCTAATCAGACTATCTTAGAATGATAAAGAATGTGAGGGTAAAAACTTCTAATCAGATGGTTTGGAGATCCCTAACAAAGCACAATTTTTATGCAGTCCCCAACAGAGATTAAGATGATGTTTTTATCATGCTAGCTTTACCACAGGTAAGTGAGGTTTATGGTCCTCAGTTCTCATAACTGCTAAATGTGTAATGTATAGAAAGTGCCTAGTACAGGACTTCATATACAATATTTTCAATAAATGATACTTGTAAATGATACTTGGCATGAGAACTCAGACATAGGTGAAAGAATGTCATTTGTTTTGTTCATTCCCTTCCCTACCATTATACCATATCTTCTCAAATATCAGTAGATTCTCTGAGAGCTTTTTTGTTTGTTTGCTTTGGGTTTTTTTGAGTGAGGAAAAGACTAGCACCATCTCCCACGGGACCTAGCACCACATGCCTATGTGTAGGTGTGCTGCACACGAAATCATTAACAATAGCACATCCATATGTGTGGTCTGACTCTGAAATTAGGAACAGGGCATTGAAGACCATATACTGCTAGTTCCCAACTTTGGCTGGAAACCTATAAAAATAATGACATTTTTCCTTTAGCTAAAGTATCAGGGTTCTTAATCCTGGCCACACATTACAGCCACCTGGAGTCCCCCCAAAAAAGAATAATGCTCAGATTCACACCCATACCAATTAAATTAGGAACTCTTGGGAACAGGGCTCAAGTTTGGGTTTCTAAAAGTTCCGAGTGACTCTAATGTGCTAATCCATGGGCAGACAGTGTACCACAGTGCCTGCATCACTTAGGAGCTTGTTCAAATCACAGACTCTCAGGCCCAGTGAGGACTGAATCAAATTCAGAATTGAATCAGAATCTGCTTAAAAGAGAGCTCCTAGTGGTTCATAGTCATATCAAAGTTTGAGAAGTACGGGTAGGTATTGGTGATTCTCAACTCTGGCTATACGATACAGTAGGCTAGAGGACTTTGGAAAAATGCAGATTCTTGGGCTCTATCCCCTAAGTTTTTATTGAAGTGGTCTGAATAGAACCTAGCATAAATACTTCGAGAAATCCCCCTTGAGTGCATAAACTATGCAACAGGGTTGAGAAACACAGTGCCTGGGAGGCAATGCCACAGTGGTAGGCTGCTTCTCAGCAAGGAATACCTTCAGGAGTGCGCTCCGACAGGTGAGGTTTACAAAATTGCCTTCCCCGTGGTCACCTCAGAATTGGCACAGAGAATAAATTTGGTCTGTTTATGTGAGGTGTTCTAGCAACATGTTTAAGAAATGTCTATTTCATATGTCTCTTATAAACATTCATGTAAATTTGTATTTTCTATTTTCCTTCCTGTTATAACTGTAGTTTATTAATGACCAGTTCTACTTGCATAACCAAATAATAACCAAAAGTGGAATAACCACACATGGAACATGACTATTATTCTTTTACTCAGTGGTAAATAATGTTAAATATTTGTATTAAAACAAACATGGAGCAATTATAGGATAGAATACATATTTTTGTGAATTTTAAAGATAATGCACAGACTTTAAAGAAATTTTGTTTTTAGTTGACACTTCAGGCTTCGCCCCTGGCCCCTTAGCAGAATGTATTCATTCTGCCCTTGAGGCTGTTCAGGAGGAAAGTTCAAAGAGCACTGAGCCAATGGAATTATTTGAAATGTGACACTCTGAATTGACTCAGTTTCAAATCCTCAGCAGTTGGAGCACCTTGGCTTAGCTCAAATGCTTGAAATATGGTAACATTTGTCACTTCAGTCCCAGCCAAGGGTCAAATGCGGTATCACAAATAAAAGCTAAAATAAATTCTAAGAGTCATTTTTGTGGTTGCTTTAACTTTATTCACATGATAGCTGTGACAGGGGCTGACAAAGACTTCCTCTAACATTTCTTTCCTCTGGCGGGATGATTTAAAGTTTGGTTGCAGACAGTGTGGGTTGAAGGGACATGTGGTGAGACAGATTACAGGCTTTGTGTAATTTTACATCATCATGAATCCAGTTTCGTTTTAACCCTGTGGCTTATCTAAATTGGGGAATAAATCTAATGTTCACTGGCAAACGCTTGGCAGCCCTTGAGAGCAGCATGTTTAGAGAACACACAATTGATCCTAACACTGGAGGCACCTCAGATACTGTGAGTGCAGGTCAGAAGTGCCGTGGGGTACCGAGAGAGGCATCCCATTACAGCAGTGGGAGCTCAGGGCACACAGCAGGCAGCTCTGGAGCGTTGCAGTCAATCCCAGGAGAGTGGCATGCTGTCTCACTGATAGGACCTCACAATGAGCCACATAAGGATAACCGTAATCAGGACAATGGTGAAGTTGAGACACAGCTCCCGGCCGGATCGCTCCATTCTCAGAGTGGCTCAGTGAGCACCAAAGGCGGACTTCCGAGGGCACACCAAAGGCCTCCTGCTTGTCCTTGCCTCCTAACAGAAAGTAACAAAGAAGACATGGGAAGATCAATGAGCATTTCCTCCTCAAAGGAAACAGAAGCACTGTGCAAGAGGACAATGTTATGGCCTGAATTATGTTCCCCCCAAAATCTGTATGTTGAAATCCTCACCCCCAGTATCTCAGAATGTGACCGTATTTGGAGACAGGGTCTTTCAAGAGGTAATTAAGTTAAGATGAGGTCGTTCAGATGGGCTCCAATCCAATATGATTTATATACTTACAAGAAGATGAGACTTAGGACACAGACATGTACAGAGGGAAGACCATGAAAAGACAGGGAGAAGACGGTCATCTGCAAGCCAAGGAGAGGCCCCAGAAGAAATCAACTCTTCAACACCTTGAGCTCAGAGTTTAGCTTCCAGACTATGTATCTGGACTAAAGCTATAACTCTTCCCTGGGTCTCCAGCCTGCCAGCCTACACTGCAGATTTTAGACTTGTCAGCCTTCACAATCACATGAGCTAATTATAAATAGATAGGTAGATAGATCGATAGGTAATCACACATCTTATTGGTTCTGCTCCTCTGAAGAATCCTGACTAATACAGACTGCCTTTTCTGATGTCAAAAAGACCAATATAGTCCTGATTTTTTTTTCTGTAATGATTGTATTGGTACTTTTGATAAAATACAAAATATTACATTTTTCTCTCTCCAACTTCAGTGTTTGTGTGTATATGCGTGCTTGCATTGCTGACTTAGAGTACCAGCCAGCAAAGTCACCAGGAAAAAAAAAATTATGTTTACTATTGTTCCATTGCTTTGAATTACATATAGAAGTAGGATATCATAATTTTTCAGGTTTCAGGTTGCTACAGGTCTCCATCTAACCCTGATGAAAGTATGAAGTAGTTTCAACATCTGTTTGGTCTTTTATAAGCACTGAGTTGGGCACAGAGCCTACTGGAGTCAAACCAAAATCCCTCACATAACAGGCACTCAGTCCAAAGAGCAAGTGTTAACCACATGGCTACTTCTATTTCAACAGGGCTTGTGCCAGCTATTTTTAGTCAGGTCTAGGATGTGCCTAGATTGTAAACACTTCAAAGAGCAGGATGGTATCTTTAAAGTTTGTACATATAATACTCTTAGGAGATCATACTTTGAGAATATATGTAACGCAGGCAAACAAAATATTGCCTTCAGTGATGTGGCATAATTGATACTTTGTGTATGCAAAGCAAATGAAATTAAAGATAAAAGATAATATTTCAGATACTTAGGACAAAAGTTGCCTATAGAGTAGAAAGTTTGGGAGAAGGGGTGTTTTTTAACTTGCCAATGTGGGAGTTCAGGGGGCAGAAAGTGTTCTTAGCTAGCTTTTAGCCTGACTAGTATTTTTAACCATCTAACCTGACTGAATTATTAATTGTAATTAATAATTTGATTATTAATATATTTGATGTATTGTAATTCAATCACATTATTAATTGTATAAACCAGCTGAATAATCATTTTTCATATTGTTTCACTGTTAGTATAACATACAAGTTGAAATCAGATAGATGGTGTCAACCAGTAAGTTGTTGAATCTTGGTTTAAAATGAGCCAGTGACGATTGCCTTATATTTCATTTTCCTTTTAATTCTTACCCATCTTTTGGCACTCCACATGAAGGATATAGTAAATTGCAAATGAAAATCTTTATACAAACACTTGCCTGAAGTAGGAAGTAAACAGAAGAAGTAAATAGATAAAGGAAGAAGAAAGAACGTATAAAAACGTGCACAAGAGCAGAGGGGAACAGGAAAGTGATGAATCCAGTTAGGGACCATGGAGGCACAGGCATGAGAATCAAAGACAGACTCTTCCTTATGAATTTATTAATAAAATCAAATCCTGGTCCAAACACCCACTTATTTGGGTAAGTTCTAAAGAAATACAGAGATACGCAAAAAATATGAGACTGTTTCTAAAGAGCAAAACAATTCAAGGAGGGCAACATAACCATCCCACCAAATCTGCTTTCGATTAAGCTCTTAAATAAAGGGAATCATGGAGAGTGTCCCAGCAGGAACGTACTGGGAAAATGTTACTGAAAGTCGTCTACCATTTTGGTCATATGACCTTCACAACAACTCAGGTGAGTATTATTGTGGTTTTTATCTTAAGATTACAGCTAAGAAACTGCCTTTTAGAGAGAGGTTGAATTGTGTAATGATGCACAGCAAGTTAGAGGCAGAGCTAGAACTAACTGGCAGACTAGAACTAGTTGCTAGAATTGTGATAACTCCATAGGAGTGATTACAAGAGTGAGTTATTAGTGAAATTAACTGCCCCGACTAAACAAAGTTCATGTAAATTTTCAACCACCTTGAGAAAACAATTGGACATTTTTTATCAAGGTCGATGCTCATTCCCTACTATCCTGTGATTTCACCTCTGCTCTAGAAACTCAAGCGCATATTTACGAGGATGCTTCCAGAAGGATGTTCCCAACAACGTTTTCATAATATCCCCAAGCTGGAAACAACCCAAATGTTTATCGACAGTAATTAAGGTATATTCATATACTTGAATGCTATAGAGTCAAGAAAATATATGAACTGTAACAATCCTCAACAAAATGGATAGATCTCAGAAATATAATTGTTGGGAAAAAGAAAAATTTACAAAAGAAGCATAGAATATGGTTCCATCTATACAAAGTCGGAAACAGGGAACTGAATCATATTGTTTAGGAATACAGAGGGAGATGACAAAAATACAAAGAGAAGCAGGGACAAGATTGTCGCAACGATCACGGGTGTGATTGCATACAGTGGGGCAGAAGGTGAGGGCGACCAGGATGGACTCCAGGGATGCTGACAACGATCTGCTTCTCGGTCTGCCTGATAGCGATACAACTGTTGCCTTACAATTATTGTCAAACTGTATGCTTTATACGCTCTTTACATTTTTTTCAGCAGTCTCTGAATTAAAAGCTGTCCATCACACTTCTGTATTTCTTGTGATTTACCCCATCCTCTTTCTTGCACTTTGATGGTGAACTTAAATATTTGTTATTTTATGCAGTTTAAATGAACATAACACAGAGTTGAGAATTCCTAATGAATCCAACGCAATCAACACATGCTCGTTGTAAGGGATGAACTTGACTTAACTTTCACACATTTATACCAGAATTAGGCAGAAATTCAGATCAGCAAACTTCATTTTTCTGCTGTGAAGCCACAAAGACAATTTTGGCTTTATTTTAAATTTTCCCTGGAGTCAAGATGACACCATACGATCCCAAGTGATTGCCATATGGGTGAAAGAGAAACCAAAAATACTCTGAATAAATTGCTTGACACTGACTTTCTTTGAATGGAGACTGAGAAGATAGAAGACAAATATTGCTCCATGGTATAAAAAATGTTCCTTAAAGAGGAAGGGAGAAAATGCATATCATGAGGTGAAAAAACAAAAACAGGAATCAATAATGGTCCCTTTGTATCTTAAGAAACACAGTGTACAATAAACATTGCCTATTTCCTTAAGAAACGTAAACATTCTCTGCCTCTCTCATTTGCAGCTTGTGCACATACACACACATACACACACCCCACTGTTCCCTGATTTGGGTCAAGAACATACCTTCTGTGGTAGGCTTCTCCTCTTTCCCTCTCTCTCTCTGTCTCTGTCTCTCTCTTTCTCTTTCTCTCTCTCTGACTCAGGCTCCAACTCCTGCTCGTCTCCTGGGCTGTGTGGTGTCCTGGACTCTGGGCAGGGCCTAAAGTAGCCCCAGGGAGGTGGCAATCACTGTGATGTCACTGATGAAACATCTCAAAGGAACAACCTCCAAAGGTTTTTGGGCTATTTGTGTTTAGGGGAACATAGAATACGTTGACTAAGACTCTGTTCCTTTGGCTGCCAATTTATATTAACATCCCAGGGACTTAAAATCTTTTCTTTCTAGTTAACTTTTGCTACAATGGATGCAGGTTTTAATTGTCTCTTTTATATCTTCATGAATATCTCTAACGTGTTTTTAAAACATCATAAACCAAGAGTGAGAGACTAATGTTAACAAACCAGGGCTGTAATTAGCTAACCTCTGTACTCGACATGTGAGGGTGTAAAATGGGGCTTCATTTCACTACCTACATCTTTAGCTATATGCAGTGTGAAGAGTTGTTGCCTTGCACACACACACACACACACACACACACACACACACCCCAAAATTCAACTGGCATCTTTAGCTCCTTCGAAACTGACTTTGGTCCAAGCAGTGAAAGTTATCTCCTTAGTCACCTGCTATGCACACCTTTCCAGCTAAGCTGTATGTTGCAAGTTTACACATTAATATACAGTTTCATCTAAACAGCTGTGGAAGCCATGGTTTATATATCACTGTCAGTAAATTAATACAGCAGCAAACCCATACAGCAAAACTGAGTCATTTGGATAGATTGGAGGTAGAAGGATACCTGGTCAAAACCAGTGAAAAACATGTTATATAGAATACATATCGGAAAGAAATAGAATTGTGTAACTCTCAAATATAAGCACTGACTAAAACTAAACTGCTGAGATGATTTGTAATCAGTATTCCAGATGTGTAGAGGTAAAAGGGCCTCTGAAATGTTTAACTAGACTTGAAAGCACATCAGTTAAGCACTTTAAACATGTCCGCCAAAACTGCGTTTGCTCAGCAAATCCCTTCTTTATAGTTAATAGAGCAAATCTCCCCTCTGAATTCCCAGTTTGGGTCAATCAAAATAATTCATTCCCAGAAGGCACAAACAAAATGTTCATACCTCAGAGGCATTACTGAAAGACTTTCCATTCCATTTCTTCATTTCAATATAATAAGTCCAATGATGGGTAATCTTAAAACAACATTCTGTTGCCACATGCCTTGTAAAAAGATAGCTTGCTGAAGTGACAAATAGTATATAGTAATCATAGCCAAATCGAACACTGGCAGTTACTTGTTGCCACCTGGCAAACTCCTTGAATGTAGTCAGATTTCTGTCTTTTGCATCCAAGCCCTTGCCAGATTGTTTCAAATGCTAAGAATGTTTTCCTAGTCACCAAACTACACCTGTCCCTTTTTTTAACACTCAAATTATTTTTGGCCCAATTAAAACGATAAGCTTATTGTAAAAAATTCAAAAATATAAAAGTATAAAGGAAATTTAAATTACCTTTACCTTCACCATCCAAGGGGGGGGGAAAACCTTTATGTTACATTTTTATTCATGTTGGAAGTTACATAGATACAATCTCAAATTCCCAAGATATCAATATTTTTGGTAAAGGAATTTGATACTTGAAAAACCCTTTTTTTAAATTCATGTAGAATCAAATTATTTATACTATATCATGTGTTGGTGTTGGATTTATAGGCCAAGCATTTATTTTGTACATGTAGGAATAGGAATTAGCTCTACAATACTGAAAACATTAACTACAATATGGAAATATTAACATATCACAAAACAATTCACCAATCTGTCAATTTAGTTGAATTGGTCAATTTCAATGGAGCTTGGAGGGAGTCTTATTGCTCATTCATGAGTCAGTTCAATTTGTCTATTTGGTTGTCCTGCTTAAGTTTACCCAACATTATACCAGGGGCTGTTGTGCCCAGTACACTGACAAATTCCCAGATGAAGACTTCAGAAGCTTCTGCATATTAGTGGTTTAGCCAGTGATGTACGAAGAGAGTGGAATTACACCAGTAATTTAGCTTGTCATTAATTTGACAGAACCCTCTCCAGAAAATTGTGCGAGCTACCCGGGGTCACCTGACAACTACTCAAAGGCCAAAGGGACAGTAAGCCTGAGGATTTACCGGTCCATTAAAAAAATATCAGGAGTGGAGGGATCAAGCAAAAAGAAGAAAGGACTCGTGGATGTGGACAACAGTGTGGTGATTGCAGGGGGAGGAGGGTGCTACAAGAGGGATAAACGATGATGGAAAAAATAGAATAAAAATAAAATAAAAACAAGTAACATTAAAATTTAAAAATATCAACATTGCTGTTTCTCATTTAAGAAACTGAGAATAACAAGATTTCAAACTTCAGTGCCAAAGCAAAATCATCCCTTTCAATTAACCTTACTTAATTGTGCTGATATTTCCCTTTCTGTGAGCAATTCCCATGGCTTAACAGCATTTCTTCCTTATCAACTTTCGTTCAAGGTGCTGTTCTGCCCATCATCAGGGCAGCATTCTAGGTAATGATCGACATTATCTCTATGTCTGTTAATCTGGAATTTGGCCAAGGGCCAAAAATATCAAGAAAACAATATTTACATGATGTTGGCATTGAAGCTCTAACTGGCATTTATCTCTTCCACCCCCCATCACCACCATATATACTCTTAGGTATAATTCTTTGGGAGGTGGGAAATGGAAAAAGTGAAGGCCTCATGTCAGTCCATGAATTCTATAAGTCTGTGACACAATGGGAGAATTCAGCAAGACCTCCGTGAAAGGTGATAAGCTCTTAGTGCAACACAGTAAATGAGTTTGATGATCAAGTTGCCTTCCTCAGCTTCACATCCACATATCCAGCTGGTCATGAAGCTGCTCAGAAAGAAAGGAACAGCTTTCTGCTGTTCTCCTTCATTATGCCAAATATGTGAGTACAAGCCCAGAGAAAGAAGAAACCCTATTTCTTGAAGTTCTCTTCCTGTCTTTGAAAAGTTAATGATTACCAGTATTATTGGTATCCTTAACCACTTGCAGCACAACTGTGATTTGTGTCTCACTAACTGGATTTTAATTTCAAAGGAGGGACAGTTTCCTGTATTTCTTTTGTTTTTCTAGCTGTACATCAAACCAGCAAAAAATCATAATAGTTGCCCTAGAGAGTATATAGCAGGGAGTTTGGCTTGAGCCTCCACCCTATCACATCACCTACAGAGATGTGGATAAGTCTGAGTGCGCCTGGCAAAAATGAGTTGGGGAAGTTGAGGCCAACATCAAATCTACTAATAAAAGGACCTAGAAACCACCAGGGAGAGAAAACTCAGAAGAGAAATGATCAAGAAGATATATGTGGTTCAGCAACAAGGAGAACAGATAGTCATTCCATAACACATACACAAATCCACTGTGTTAGTCCCGGTCCTGTGAGAAACAAATGCCAAGATGGGACTAAATGTGCAAAAAGAAAATGTGTTATTAGGGGAAACGCCTGTGAGGAAAATATAGGGAGAGAAGGGGGAAACAGAGAGAGTAGTTAAACAGCAAGAGAAAGAAAGAAAAGGATGATTGGGTAGAGACATCATAGACTACAGTTCAGTTCTAAGGAAAGTTTGAGAAGTCTGTTAGGAAACTTCAAGTCAGAGTCACCTGTCAGAGGTGTCCTATGTCTCCCAAGGATTGCGTCGCTCATGGAAAGCGTAGCCTCTGTTCAGATGTGATTATGATTTCAGAGCTCAGCAGCTGGGGCCCACCTCAGTTACTATGCAGTCAGATCTAAGAGACACACGTTTGTGGCCACCATACCCATATACCACCCTCCTACTTTTCTACAGTTTGCAGTCTGGACTCTAGGAGGAGAGAGCGCTATGGATAAAAATTCCATAACTCTTTTAACAATTAACCTCAATTAATAGGAGGTAATGCTGAGCAGGAGAGAGGGCTCCTTCCTCTCCCTGCGCCTTGTCATGGACCTCAGCGCATCCATGGAACCAGCAATGTAATGGCATTCTGTTGAAGTGTCACATAGTCTGGCAGAAGCAGCAATACTGATTAAGATTTATTTGACGTTTATATTAAGCTGCGCAACCCTTAACTAGCAGCAGAGAGGAGCTTGAGCTAAAGAGCAAGAAAATGGCAGGCACTGTGTGTTCTCCAGCCGTACTTGTGTGTGAGCACATGCATAGCACAGCCTGAAGTCTCGGGAAATAATCAGGAGGAACACAACAGGGGCATGCAGTTTTGCATAATAGGTGCAGCAAGAGCCAGAAAAATTCGTATGAGTCCTATTTATAATAATCCATTTTAGTCCTGGATTGGTGAGGTGACACCTGTTAACATCATTTGACTTAGAACCAATTTAATTCCTCTTCTCTGGAACACGTATATTCCTGTTCTATAATAAAGTTCTGCAAGCAAACAGCTTTCTCTTAGCACAATAAACAAAGCTACTGTGGGCTGGGGGCGGTGGGGGAGAAGCAGCCAAAAATATGTTTACTACTCGGCTAATACCATCTGCCCTCAAAACAATCTCAGATTTCAGATTGGCTTTATTTTTCTGATGGGAAATAATTCAGCCATCCTTTGATGTGTTGTTACCAAACCGTTCAGGGAGATTCTAGCTAGACACACCCACGTGAAATATTCTGTTCCTTAGTGAATTTAATCAAGGATATTTTCAATGAATCTCTCCTGAAAATCTGTCAGTCAGAATAATACCACTACAGTTTCAGCAAAAATATAAGAATCAGACAAAATTGCACATTGTTCTCTGTGGAGTTCATTTGGGTTTAGCCTTTGGCTATCAAAGCAGAAAGAACAGTGCCCTGAGGAACCATGAAAATCTATCTCTGCTCTCTGTGAAAGTAATGAGAGAACGGAAGTGCCTAGATGGAGCAATGTGGAAGATTAGCTGGATGCAAGCTACAGGCTAGGTTTCCTTTTCGATGAGAGATGTGCTATCTCTGAGGGCAACTGGACACTTGCTCTACAGCCTGGGGAGTAACCTAAGCTTTTACACTTTTACAGTAAGAGAATGTGGAGTTGCCAGGGCTAGTATTCATGGATTTGAGCACTGCATCTGGGAGAAGTCGTTCAGGACTACTCTCATTAGCTTGCCTTGTGCCGGTTCCTGCCCTCATTTGCCAGTGTAGAACTGAAGAAGAGGACCCCATACCTCAAGCCAATTATATCTATGTCATTTAGGGGGTACACCTTTTGTGCTAAGAAAAGTCCAACAAGCTAACATTTTCTTTCTCTCCTTGTATTTTATTCCTCTTTTGCTAGATGTCAAAGGACTCACCAGGCACTCAAATGTCAACCATTCCCTCTGAGTACCACCACAAGACATCCCTTCCCCTGCAGCCTCCTCTGCTGAGTACCACAGCTTCTTACCGTTGGGCATACCAAAGTTACACTTACCTCTGGAACAAACTAATGAGTGGAGGTGAGGAAGTATGCATCTGTCTGTGTGTTATACCCTGTTGAGGAGAACCAAAGAAATACTTCTTTTTATCATACCAGTGTGTACCCAGACTAGAGTTCATAGGGTAGTTGAGCAAGGGAATGAACAGAATTAATAGAATTAACTTTATCTCAATCCCACTTCTTCCCTTCCAACTCTAAAATTTCATATTATATCAAGCTTTCCTTTCCTTAGGATGAATTATCTCTCAGCAGGTGTCTAGGCTCCCAGAGCAAATCGGCCTTTATCTGGCCTGCTCCCTCCGTACATAAGGCATGTGCTGACGTATCTTGAAATGCAGCACCAGATGCAGCTGAGGCTCAAGCTGAGGTCCTACTCCATCAGTGTCCTTGGACAGGTAGTACAACACGTCATCTGTTCTAGCAATGATCTTTCCACTGGGGCCAGAGTGGAAACTAGCTTCTCTGTACTCTGCGTATAATTTCTTACCTCAGTGGTTTCGGGTAGCTCCCAAATTAAGTTCAAAATCTTCAGCTGCAGAGGCAAAGCCCTATCATGATCTCACTTCTAAACTCATTGCCCTCCTCCAAAGCAATCCCAAACTTGTGCCTCCTCAGATGTTCTCTCCTTGTGTATATGCGCAAGTTTCTTCCTTCCCTCCCCTCAACAACTCCCAACTTTGATGATTAACAATAATACTTGATTCAAGCATCACATTCCCTGATCCTTAAGACTGAGATGGATGGACCTCTGTGATCTATGTAGCCCTATACACCACTGATTTCATTCTATTGCATTCACTTCATTGTCCATCTCCCCTCCTTAAGAACAGGATCTGTCTCTCACCCCTGTAGACCCTAGTCATGTAGTCCACTGAATGTAGTGGGCACTCCGTGAAAGTTTGTTGAATGAAAATATGTCTGAATGTAAAATGATGATTAATTAATAACTGTTCCACTCTGGAGAGTCATGGGCAAATGAATATTTTCAAAATAAAACTCTCACCTTTCATCAATTTACGTGGAAAAAGATGGTGATGTAACAAGACCTATAGTAACATGAACTACTCATGATTTCTTTAATTAAGAATAGCACATTCTAGTCTTCCCCACTGACCAGGTCTGACGATTGGCACATAATATGCTTTAAAGGGATGATTTTTCTCTGCTGTTGAAGGTGAGAAGCAAACAACGTAATTTATTGTAGAAGATTATTGAGAAAATTTTAAAAATTAGAAATATAAAAAATGGCATGTTCCTTGAAAGATTAACTCAACAACTTAATATATATTTAAATATACATTTTTCATTAACACCTAAACTTACTCAGCATTCTGTAGCTTCCTTTTAAATAAGAAAAGGGCATTAGAACCTTTCATTTCCTCTGCTATCTTATAATATTCATGTCATTATTGTTTAGATCTCCAGTTCTCTGTTTTAATGTTAACATTATTGTCATAATTGTCATTATTACTCTTTATACAATCGATACTTATTAGATTTATCAAGATACTCTCCAGATTAATTAGCACACCCAAGATTCTTGTATAACACTTCCTCCTTCTTGGTTCATTTTTCTTCTTGTTGAAATTTATCTTTCAATAGTTCATCTGTAAGAGTCTGCGGGTAGGAAGCTTTCTTAATGCTCATATGGCTTGAAAAATGTGTTTTCTTTAGATTTCTCTCTTAAATAATTTTTTTAAGTGTCAAGTTTTCTATTTACATTTCTTTATTCTCAGTACTTTGGTTGCATTTTGCACACCCCCTGTAGGGACATGGCCTGCAACCCAGGCATGTGCCCTACACTGGGAATCCAACCAGCGACTCTTTGGTTTGCAGGCCAATGTTCAACCTTCTGAGCCACACCAGCCAGGGGTTCTCAGTACTTTGAAGCAATAGCAACATTGTTGTCTGGCTTTTGCTATTGCTAAGGAGTCTACTATTGATCTCCTTGATATATCATTGTAGGTAATCTGTGCTTTTTCTCTAGAGACTTCTAAAATTTTAACTTTTTTAAATGCTCTCCCTCCAATTCTACCTTCCATATTTCTCAATTTCTCTTCTATTTCTCACATCTTTTTGTCTTTGCATCCTGGGAGATATTTTCTGTTCTATTTTCCAATTCATTAACTCTCTTTGCCTTTTCAAAATAACTATTTAGCTCATTCATTATATTTTTGAATTTTGTGACTATATTTTATTTCCAAGATTTTCACTAGGTTCCTTTTCTTTTAATATTTTAAAAAGATGTTATTTACTTACTTTTAGAGAAAGGGGAAGAGCGAGAGAAAGAGAGGAAGAGAACCATCAGCATGGTTACCCCTCGTGCACTTCCCATTGGGGAATGTGGCCCACAACCCCAGCATGGGCCCTGACTGGGAATCAAACCAGCGGCCCTTAGGTTCGCAGGCCTGCACTCAGTCCACTGAGCCACACCAGCCAGAGCTCAATAGGTTCCTTTCACATCTGACTTTTCTGCTTTCATAAAACCCTAACCTCATTTTACGGATAATAATTTTGCCTTGTGGGAGTTGGATTTTGTTTTTTGTGGAGTTTATTTTTTTTTTTTTTTGGTGGGGGGGGGCAACAGTTTTAAAGTTGAAGTTTCTTCCAGATTATTCTGGTAGCTCTCTGTCCATGGTTATGAATTTTCTTATATATGGATTCTATATACTGTTTTTCCTCACACTGAGTGTCCTCACGTTCTTTTTGTTCAAAACAATTTTCAGGATTTCTCCTATATTTGCCTACATGTAGGACAGAGTTAGATACTTCACGCTTGCCTCACCGGTTTTTTCAAGGTGAAAATTGTTTCAGCTTCCAGCTTGGACAGAAGTAGATTTCAGAAAGATGGGTGAATTTATTTCCCTGTCTTTAAACACAGGATACACAGGATATCTGAATGCAAAGAAAATAGCCCTTGTCCCCATGTTGAAGAAAAATAACTTGATCTCCATCCTTATCATGACTGGAGCATGAAGGCATTGATGTCCTTGCCCTGTGTCCAGCCTCAGCTCCCTGAGAACTATGTGCCTGAAGGTCCTGCCCACCTCTGTAGTTTTCCTCTCTGCATCTGTTCATAGTGGTTACTTCAGTTGTTTTTTTTAATGTGATTGTATATAATATTTAATACTTTATCTCTCATTCTTATGTATTTAGAACATAAGGTAGAGATTTCTGCATGTACTCATTCTGTCATGTTGAACCAGAAATTTTGCTTCTATTTTTTAAATAAATTATTCCTGAAGTAAACAACAACAAGTAAACTTTTATGAACTTAAAAATTAAAAAAATTTTACCCAATTCTCTGACCATGATGTAGAAAGGTAGGTAAATCATTTTTATCAACTTTCTCATTATGCTTAATATTATATGAACAATTGAGATAATAACTGTTACCATAATGACATCTGATATTTTCAAAGTATGTGGCTTCTTCAAAGCATTTGTGACTCACAAAATTCCTGGAGGAATAAATAAAGTTTAAATTATTATCTTCATTTTTCAAATGAGTAAAGTTAAATAATCCACACAGCTAGTTAAATGGTCAACTCAGGATGCCATCTTACCTTCTATGCATGAAAACAACATTTCAAAGATACACATTATGGTTATTCAAAGATACGTATATTTTCCAGATCAAATGCTCATTTCACGAGATAAATGGTACCCAAACTTTTAGAAAATATTTGTTGACAAAATGCATACTGATAAAATGTTTTAATAGCTATAAATGAATTCATATTATGTTAAATTCTGCAGCATCAACAAACGTTGAAAATAGTAATAAATGTTATGTATTCAGTTCAAAGGCTATGCTTGGTATAAATAAGAATTCACAAACTTTGATCATAACTTCACAGCATCCAAACATTGAACCAATCTACATCTTTCATGGAACATCTTCAGTCCCCCAAAATTTCATCAACAATATTACATAATGACTCATTGATCTACTTGATGATTTCTGTGCTGGTGTCATGTTGTTTTAATTGATGAGACTTTATAATGGATTTAAATTTTTTTAAATATTTTCTGATGGATCTTGACATTTAAAAAAATAAATAGATAAAAATCAATCTGCGTTAAAAAAAAGAAAGAAAGAAAAAAGGAACTCCTACCTCTTGTGACAACATGGATGGAACTGGAGAATATTATGCTAAATAGAATAAGCCAGTCAGTGAAAGACAAATACCATATGATCTCACCTATAAGTGGAATTTATTCAACAAAATAAATTAACAAACAAAATAAACCATAGTTAAAGAAACATGATGCAGACTGAAAGTGACCAGAGGGGATGGGAAAGGAGGACAATGGTGGAAAGAAGGAGAAGGGGCTAAACAAAGAACATGTATGAATGACCCATGGACATGGATTACAGAGTGGGAATTGACTGTGGGAGAGGAAGGCGGGGTAGGACGGGTGGAGGGGGGAAAAGGGGGATAAATTGAGATAGCTCTAATAAAATAAACATGATTTAAAAATAAAATTTTAAAAAATGCATCACAAAAAAACACAATATTACATAATCAAACTCCACCTGAATTACTCAAATTAGAAAAATCCTGATATAATGTGATTATTGTAGGATCCAAAATGAATCATTCAATGGGAGTACAGCTATATAAATACAGGTATAGATAAGAATACAGATACATATAAGAATACAGAAATACATAAGAAGGTCAGTAGGATAAATATATAGCGTCTCATAATTCCTAGATAGTAATAAAATTAAGACAAATAGAAGAAAAAATATTAGACAAAAAGGGAGATGAGAGAAAACATTAAATCTACCACCCTTTTCCAAGGCTGATAAGCCTTCAGCTCTACTAATTATTAAACGATGTTAGAGAAATATTTCTTCTTAATGCAACCTGTCCTTGAAGTCATTACAGGAAGGAAGATCTTGCCGATAAGGGCCAATACTTTCCTTTGTGAATACATTACTCGGTTATCAGAGATTGAAATATGGTTTGGCTGTCATATTTTGAAAAACTATATATAAAATAAATCTTCATAGGCAATTTGGGTGCACTAAAATATAATTACTAGCTAGAACTATCTCCACACAAACTTTTTACTCAAATAAATAGCTTTTTTCTCTCTTCAAGAATAAGGCAACAACTAGTGTTATTTTATGTAATAAAATTAATTTTTCTGATTATGAAAGTAATACATGCAGATTGTGGAAAAAGAGAGAAATATTAGGAGAGAAAAAATTAAGTAGAAAATAGCAACATTAGATGAAGAAATTAAGGCCAAGAGAAGTTAAAGGACTTGACAGCAAAATCACATCTCTAACCCCTTTGACCTGTATGCTACGGGTTAATATTAATTTATTTTGAATAGTTAAATGGCATGTGAATTTTACTGATCCACTTTGACATTAGTCTGGATTTGGCATAAGCACTATTCCGAATCATTAAGAGCTTTTCCCAACGGACAAATTTAAATTGTCCCTTGTTATTCTCTTTGATAGCATTCTGTTCTTTTCCTTGACAGCACTTACCACAAATTTTGATCACCTATTTACTTGTGCTTATTTATTTTTCACCCCCACCACACTCTAACTCCACAGAGCCAACCCATGTATCTGTTCTGTTCTCCATTACATACCAAGTGCCTAGCACGTTGCCTGGTGTATAATGACCTCTCAATAACCTGCAGTCAGAAGGTCATGAAGTTGTTTACTGTGGTTTCCCTTCATTGACTGCCCTTTCATGGGCACCCAAATTACCCCAACTTATTAAACATTTACTATGCTTTAAAATTTAAACAATGTCAGAAGCTTATTTTATACGTAAGTGTAATTTAATCTCATAAATTATCTTTTTTTTTTTTTTTTTTACCTCTGTTGTGTAGAGGGAAAAAAATGAACCTGGGAGAAATTAGTGAAGTGTCAAAAGGTCAAAAACTCAGTAAGTGACAGACACAGGGTTTAATGACAGCGTATAAATTCTGAATCCTTTTGCTATCTGGCTTCTAATTTCCTGGTTTCGATTGATGTTCAAGATTCAGCAATAAGAATAGCTACACTTAATCCTTGATTTAAAAGTTATCTGGGCTCCTGGGTCAAGATACTAGATTGAACATATGCATTAATTTTTCTCCCTCTCCAAACACCACTAAAATGACAGTAGGGAGATTTTTTTTTTAAGGAATAAAGTCATAAGGATGAGGAAAATTGAAGAGGAAAAAGAAGCAAATATATTTGGAAGCTGTAAAGCAAAAGGACGAGTGTAGCTGATTTAGCAAAGCTAAGAAAGCTGAACCCTAAACTGGTAGTAGGGAACGCCAAGAGCCAAAGTGATTTACACTGTACAGATTGCTGGCAGTGGGGGTGCAGAGTGGAGTAGTTAAAATAGGGAGAATTAGTTGCGAGCTTTTCAAGAAATCGTTAGGTCCCAAGATCCCACCATGACCCCAACGCGGCACAGCTGGCAACTGACCTTCCCCCACCTAAGCAGCGGGCTGGAGTTTTATTCCCTGGAGAGAGCCTCTAGCCTGGGAAACCCAGGCACAGTTAAGGGCAGAAGTATCCTACTGAAAGGAAGATTTAAATGAACGCACATCTGAATGGTGAACACATCCCCCATCTGATCTCTCTTCCTCTTCTCAGGTTCCAGGTGAGTGGAAGCTAAGCTTCACCTGGAGCTCCAGGCAGAAGATCGGAAGAGCCTTCTTGAGGACTCTGCACAGCCCAGGGGGAAAGAGCACTGACATTGGAAGTCCCTCAGTGAAGAGGCTCCAGTAGCTCATCTTACAGAGGAGTGCACAGTCAGCAAGCCTCACTCATGTTCTCAGAGTCTTAGCGGTTTTTAGTCCTGTATACTTAAATATTAAAAACTTGGAAGTTAGAATCCAAAATACACAGAAGAAAAAGCACTTGAAAAAGAAAACATGTAAAGAAAATGAAATTAGATGGTTTCCAACTTATCAGTAACATTGGAAGCTAGAAGGCAATGGAGAAAAGTACTTCACAATTCTGAAGATAACTATGTCCAATGGAGAATTCTATCCCTGGCCATCTATCAATCCAGTGAAAGAGTAAAAATAAAGATATTTGCAGACATGGTTGGTTTCGAACAAATCTCCTTCCATAATTCAGCACCAGATGATGTGTGTGCTCCCCCAAAATGAGGGGGTATCCATGAAGGAAGACATGGAGTCCAGGAAGCAGGAGAGTCCAAGGAGATACCAAGGTGATTGTAAAAGGGACATCGTCTCCAAGTCCCATATGTGTACCTGGAATAAAGGGCAATCAGTCCACACTGGAGTAGGTCAGACAGCCTTGAAAGATGCCTTCAGGAAAAGGCAAACCGTAGGAGGAGTTTTCAAGAATCAGCAAAGTTTGGGGTTGAATAAGTGATAAGTATTAGAAAAGCAAGCAAGTCAACAAAAAAAGGACAATTTTTACTCCCTGGAAAAAAATAAATTTGGGGCAGAAAATGAAAAGTAGTCACGGTTTTTACATGGCTCAATTAGACATAGCATTTTCATAGCTCTAATAGAAACAATGAATATCGACTAATGAAATGTGACTCAACTGGGACACCAAGGAAAGACTGGTAAAAAAACAAACAAACAGACAAAAAATCTAAGTTCTTTCTACTGCAGCGAGAGGTCGATATAATGCTTAATACTGAAAATTTCAAAGAATAGTACAAGTACATTATTTAACAAATATGTAAATAAACATGAAATGAATCAATGAAAAGGCTTCCAGGGGGATGAGAATTGGAGTGAGTCCAGGACTTCTTGGTGTCTTGTAAAGCTGTTAACCACTTCACACTACTGCATATATAAATTTAAAAATTGAAACCAACAAAAAGAATATTAATGTAGATAAATGTTTTTAATAGTAAAATATATTCTCTCTCCTTTCCCTCTCCCTCTTATTATGAACCTTATGCCAGCCACTCCAGCCAGTCACCTGGAGCGGAGGGCTTGTTTTAAATACGAAGTGGACTTATTCTGGTATATCAGTAGAACTCAATTAGACAATAAAGAAGACTATTTCCTTCCCAGCACTCAATATAAATGGGTCTAAAACTTGCTGAAAATGGAAATTTTAGTTTTGTCATGAAACAATCCCTTCAACGATTTCTTTTTTACTCCCGTGTAACCCCGTATTTATTTCTGCTGATCTTCTCCATAAAAGCTCTATGTAATGGTATGTGTTGATTTATGAGACTTCTTTCAGCCTTTACTTTATTTACATTTATTTATCTTGTTATTTCTCTTGACAGATCCCTGTGTTAATATCTGACCCATGAGAAAGGTGTTCAGCCAAAGAAAGTCCTCGGTGTTCAGTCAGTGGCCTGAAACAGATGGTGAGGCCCAGTCAGTGCCTTAGGGAACTCAGATTACATATCCAAGGCGTTCTCATATAACAGCTGTGTGCCTTTGATCAAAATATTGAGACACACAAACCCTCACGTCCTCCTCTGCACAAAAACAGCCAGGACCCTGTTCCCTTAGATCAAGGAGAGGCATGCCAACTGCTCCATAGGTCCTCTTGCGCAGTAAATACCCACGCTCTCAGAAGATCTTCAGAGACACAGGATGACATGCGTCAGACAGAAGGAGGACCTCAGCACCTGCAACAGTGCTCAGCACGCAGTAGGGGTTCAATAAATATTTATTGAGTAAATTGTCAAGTAAATACACTGCTGCTCCATCTGGCATGCCTTTACTTTTCTCAGATTAACACGTTCCTGCTCATCCTTCAAGATCCGGTTCACATGTCTCTTGCACGTTTTCTTTGACACACTCACTCTTTCCTCTCTGTATAGCTGTAATTGAACAGATTTCTGTTGCTTTTAACACAGTATTGCAGTTACTTTGTTACACATCTGTCCTCCCTACAAGACTTTTAATTTCTTGAGATCTAAGGCTTTGCCTTGTTTGTCTCTGCCTCCTTGCTACCTCACAGAGTGCCTGCATATTTACTTATTCATTCAGCAGGATTTGAGTACCTGCTATGTTCCAGGCACCAGAATGTGTCTGGGGATACAGCAGTGAACAAGACATGAGCTTTCCATGTTCTCAAGTTTACATTCTGTTAAGGGCTGCAGACGATTAAAATAAGTGTGGCAAGTGAAAGGACTGGGGCTGTGAGTGCATTATGGAAGCACAAGGGAAGGGCATCACATTCAAAATTTGAGGAATCAGGAAAAGCCTCCACAAGTAGTCTTCCCAGAAAAACAAAGACTACCTGAGGAATATATAGAAATTATCCAGGAAGGGTGAGAATGGGCTATACTCGGGAAAGTATAGCTGATTTGGAGAATGGAAGAAATGAAGAAAGAATGGGAAAAAAGAAGAAAGGAAAGAAGAGAAGAAGGGAGAAAAGGATGAGAGGGAGGAAGGAATGGAAGACGTGAGGAAGGGATGGAAGACGTGAGGAAGGGAGGAAGGAGGAACACTAGTATCTGATTTGCCTTGTAGTGCTCCTTACTCAGGTGACCTTACCAAGAGTCCTAGTATTGCCAGCTACCCCACTGCATTTGGAGAATCCGTTTACCCCAGTCACAAAAGTACAGGCTATTACAGACCAAAAGGGACCATCAGTATCTATCTCTATCCCTCTTATTCTGCAAATATGAAAAGTAAGACCCACAGAAGTTAGTAATAATAATATTTTGCTTTTATTGCCCATCTTACAAAACATTTCCCGCTATCCAGTTAGAGCCCAATAGCCCTGTGAAGCAGCATCATTTTTTTACACATCAGGAAACTGAGGCTCAAATGGAACTAGCGGCACAGCTGGAAGCCAAGTCTTCTGGTGTCATACTCTATGCTCGTTCTGCCATGCCTCAGCTCCTCTACCAAAGTCACACCAGTAGGAACAGAGCCAGCAGCAGACTTAACTCCTTCCAGAAAGCAAGAGCGTCCTGACACCTGATACCGAGCACTGCTAATTATCACATGGTGTCCCAATTACAAGAACACTTGTGCTGAATGACTTGCCCAGTAGCCTGGGGGACACTGAAATAATTGGGGTTTACTTGGTTTTGCCTTCACTTGGTGTCAGGTTATAGGTCAGCCTTGTTACAAACTAAAAGATTGCTAATTTTGATGATATAAAGTGTCTATAAAAGCGAGACTTGACAAACAAATTAAAAGATAAGCCACAGACTGGGGGAAAATATTAGCTGCATATAAAAGCAAAGAAATAGCACCCATAATTCAAAGAGTTCCTGCAAGTCCATAAGAAAGACTTATAACCCAATAGAAAAACGGTCAAAGGATATGAATAGGCAGTTTACAAAAAATGAGAAGCTTTAATGGCCAAGAAACACATGAAAAAATGCTCGCTGTAAGTCAAGAGATACATCAGAAAACAGTAAGATATACTTGAAGATGGGACAACAAAGAACTCCACTTTGGGAGGGAATCAGACAGTATATAGTCAAGCTGCAAATACTCTATGATCCAGCAATTAGTTCCATTTCTAGATAGGAAGATAGATAGACGGACAGACAAATAAACAGCTAATCACACACACACAGAGGTAGGTAGAAGGAGGTTCAGTGAAGCAATGTTTGCCACCAACATTTTTAAAAAGCAAATTTCAGAATGTTATATACGATGTTACCGTTTTTATAAATGAAAATAATTACATAATATTTAATACATATGTGTAGGCAAAAGTGTAAAAGCATGGACTGAATAGACACCAAATCCATGATGATGGTTTCCTCTAGGAAAGGAAAGAAGATTAAGGGAAGGCAACATAAGAACTTCAACTTTGTTGGGTATATTTTCTCTACACATTTTTTTAAATGTGAATCCAAAATTTTAAGTATATTGTAATTCTTTGTTTATTTCTGCACCAAAATTATTTCCAAAAAAATTTTAATAAGCCTTACATTTCACCTGTAAGTTTCAAATACTTTCTCTTCTACCCCAGACTTAACACTCTCAGTTTCCCCACATGTCAAATGAAGAAACGGTAGATTAGATCACTTCTAAGATTCCTTTCATCCCTGACTCACTATCCTATGAAATCTTAAAAACTGAAGAGACTGTAGATGAGTGACCTTTTGTTTGAAAGAGATCTGGAAAGGGGCTAGGAATATACTGTCAGCTGTTACAAGGGAAGGAAGCCCTGGAACATTTTTTAAACTATGAAAGCTTCTTCTTTTCACAGTAGCCTCACCCCAGAGGCATTCCTCAGTTAGTGTCTTATCTATTTATATTCTGAGATCCCTATCTAAATTAAGCTTTCACACAAGGTTTACGTGGTGATGGGTTCTGGACATTCTGATACCATTTGTCTTTCCTCACCTCAAGCCATAAACCTTGACTTGAAACTTCATTATCACTAATTCTTATATAAAATATTAGGCTTAGAAGTTTGGTGGCGATATACCCCATTTAACCCTAAAGTAGAACTTTTGGTCTGAAACAAGTCTGACAATGGGTTAGAATATTTGCAATCAGGATGATCCCAGAAAATCTTCAGTCTTGTGAGAAACTAGAAAAAAAAAAAAAAAAAAAAAACAGTTAACAGGTTACATGGAAAGGCTGGAAGAACCAAGGATTTCATAAATATTCAAGCTGTCCTTCAAGTGCACACAAAATCTTCTGGAGAAATCTACTAGGGGTAAGTTTCATTCAACCAAGAGAGAACTAAGAAAACTTCAGCAAAAGAACAGATAATGAGATTTAATATATTTCATCATAGAATAAGAATAAAACAAGTTTTGAAAAATAGTTAGAAAGATAATATGTAAACAAAATAGAAGCAATGCAGCTAAAATAATAGGATGAGAAG